GAACGGGCCCAACCGGGAATTGAACCCGGGACCTCTTGTACCCAAAACAAGAATCATACTACTAGACCATTGGGCCGATGTTGGATATAGTCGTCGATATCTCGTCCAGTTTCGGGCTCGCCCAAGTCTTTCCTCTGCCAACAGATTCAACCTCGTCTCCGCTGCAGCTACCACAGAGGTCGAAACGTTGCTGAGGATGGCGGAATGTAATCACACCTGAAGAAGAGAGAGTTTGTGAGCTGCAAGTTACAGCGAAAAAGAGTTCCGGTCAGTGCTTCGACTCGAAGATTCTCTTGCACATATGGCTTCTAAAGAGTTGCTTCAGACAGTCTCTTGTCTCTACCCACCAGTTTGATTGAGATGCTTGAAGGCCCGGGCCCAAAGGAATCAGCAGTGCCACCTTGAAGTCAGCGTTGGCCCAGAGCAAAGCACCGATGGATGACGTACCGATTCTCCAGAAGTGAAGACAAAAAACCAGAAAGAGAACATTGCGGGTACCCAGGGGGTTGAAGAGGGAAGGACGGCCCGCCTGGGCCTGGGGATGGAGGAGCAGAAGCTTGGGCGACTCACCCGATGTTGTAATGAAGGCTCGGAGAGGTGGGTGAAGGGGAAAGTAATGTTTGACGACACACTCGTAACGCAAGAACCTTCTTTTTCTGAGGGAGGATAGAAGACGATGGAAAATTTTCGCTGTTTCAAAAAGGTTGCCTTGATTATTGCGTGGGCGCCGTGGGATTCTGTTTGAGAGTCGACCTCTTGTACATTCACCCAACAGCGAAGGACGGTGAAGGAATCGTTTCAATTTAAAAAATTCAAAACCGTACGGACGGTGAATTGAGAACACGCTTCCGCTCCACGCATCTCTCACGTGGCAGTCTTGATTTAGCACATGCACATGGAAAAAGGAACCGGCAAAGAGTGATGCGTCGATCCGTGATAGAGATAGAGATACTGTTCCGAACATGCCGTGCGCGTAACCTCCTTGATAAGGCGAGTTTGGACGTTCGCGGGACATATCACGTGTGACCAGCCGCGAGCGAAAGAGCTCTGTCCCGACAACGCGCGCATAATTTAGGGGAAACAACCTCTACAAGTGAGCAACAATCAAAGCCTGAACTGTCCACAGCGCTCGTGAATGCTAGTTCGCTGGTTTCTGCAGCAGGGCCCGGGACCGCTCTTGTCATGGCTGCAAACGGCTTTTTATTTGAAGGAATCCACTGTGAAAGAGGACGCCAGGAAGATGGAAAGAAGTGGGAGGGAAGGGGGGAAGGAGGGAAGGAGGGAAGGAGAGTAGGAGTGGGGTGGTAAAACTCGGGCAAAAGGCTTGAAGACCTTTAAGAGTGGAGGGGGACTTGAAGCTCTGTTTTTCCTTTTCGGATTGGTCCCGACGGCCTCCACTGGGATTGCGGACGGCAGAAAGAGAGAAGGGGGAAGGGCGATATAAGTTGAGAAGGCGGGTAAGTGAAAAGCAGACAAAAAAACGAAAACCAAATAACTGTCTCAAACAGGTAAGAGAGAAAGCTATTGATATAAACACTAACAAGCAACAATGCATTCTGCGAGCAAATCGCGGTGTGATGGAGAATCAGAAGCAGTAAAAACGAAATATGTCTCGTGACAATGCCCACCATAGCCCTTGAATTAAAGCTTGCCATGCAATAAAACCGCGATGGCGTGTTGGCAGCAAATGACAGCGAAGACTAAAGAATTGAAAGAGGGGGGAAGAGAATAAAAGCGAAACCCAAAAGGTTCTGGAGGTTCCCGGAAGACAGACGACGGTATCCGGACGATTTCATCAAGCGGGCCCCAACTAATATCCTTAACCGAAAAAACCAGAAAAGCAAAGAGCATCACTGACACCATGAACGCGTGCCGTATTTTCTAAACATTTAACAAGAACAGGGAAGCGTATTGCCAGACACTGAGGTTTGGGGGGAAGGGAAACGCTTTTCGGCAACGGAAACCGCCCAGCTCTTTCAAGGAGGGTTGAATCCGGCTTTGGAACAAAAGAATACCATGCACTCTGACAACACAGAAAAGAGAAGGGGGGAAAAAACAAAACAAACAAAACAAAGGGCTCCACCGGCACCAGTCTGCGAAAACCGCAATGGGTAATTATCCATTCGCGAAAACAGAGCGAATTGCTGCCAACCGGAAATGCAATATGCATTTACTCGTCGATGTCGACCCCGTTGTTCATCCTGCGGTTCTTCTCCGACTCAAGCTGGTCGTAGAGCATCTGGAGGGCCTTCGAGTTGGCGCTGGGGGTGCCGACAATGGTGATCACCCGCTCGCTCGAGCCCTCAACGGCCTCCTGAATACGGAGCCTGGCGCCAGACTGGCGACGGATCGAGTTGATGAAGGTACCGCCCTTGCCGATGACACAGCCAACCATATCACTTGGGATGGCAAGAGTCTGAGTCTGTTCGCCGGAAGCGTTCGAGTTAGACACCACAACAGGGTTGAACCCGTTGCTGCGGTCACCACGGCGGCCGCTGCCACCGGGGTAGCTGTTGGTGGGGGTAGTGCCACGTCCGCCAGTGCGGCCGCTGCTGCCGCCCTCACGGCCGGAGCCGCCAGCGCTAAATCCAGGGGTTTCGTCGAAGCGACCGGTGCGGGGCACGGACGCTCCTCCGTTGTAGTTGAGCCTAACCTGAGGGTTGTAGAGGATGGTTCCGGCACCGCGTTCGATGTCGTTGAGGATGCATTCGGAGATGTTGTAGACGGCGATTTTGCTATTTGGCGGAAAGAAAAATTTCCATGTCAGCCAAAACAACAAGCGAAAAAAGGAAAATAATTAATGGTAATAACAGGAGAATCGGGAATTAATCCTCGTACTCACATGGACTCAACGAGGCCAAAGACTTCGATGATGCGCTCCGTGGATTGAGGGAGCATCTCCTTGGAGATCACGAGCTTAGCGCCCGACTCCTCCTGGATGTCCTTGATCTTGGCTCCGGCCTTGCCGATGATAGAGCCCATGAGCTGATGAGAAACGAGGAGGCGGATGGTGGTGCAGTCGGCATACTGGGGAGGTTGCGAGGAGACGGGGTTGTCGAGAAGGTGTTGGGCGATCATGGAATAGGCCTAGAGGAACGCGATATTGATAAAGAACATGGCGTTAGTGCTACGCTCCAACCTGCCAACTCAAATAAAAGATCGGCGTGGCATGTCGAGAAAAGAGATCCGTCATAAACGAAAACTAGGCTGACCTTTGCGACACTAAGGGTGGGTCCGGTGATGGTGAGAATACGTTCGTGAACACCGGGAATGACTTTGCTCACTCCGGCCTTGACACCAGTCTCCTCCCGCACCTCCGCGACGTTCTTTCCGCCTTTGCCAATTATAACACCGGCTTCCTTAGTGGTGACGAGCGACCGCAGGGTGATAGTTGGAGGCTCCACAGGGGCGGGGGTGGTAGAGGAAGGGATGGCGCCTTGGGCTATGGCCGACGACGGAGCGACAGAGGCGCTCTGAGACTCGCTCTCGTCCTCATCGTCATCATCATCGTACTGGCTGTCGCCGTACGCGGGATCGGGGTCCACGTAGTTGTGGGGTTGGTGGGGAGGAGTCTCGGGGTTCAGGGTGAGGCCGGTCAGGTGAGCGATGGCCTGGTCGGGGGCGGAGAAAGAATACTTGTCCTCAGCAATCATGTTGAAGGGGTGTGGCGTTTCGGAATGCTTCAGCAGAAATCACAAGACGAATCGCTTTGAATGCGGGAGCTGTCCCCAGGGATGAAGGCAACAATCAGAACGGAGGGAAAGAAGATCCACGGGGTCGGTCAAGTCTTCGCACGGGAGTGCCGCAAGCCTTAAGCTGTGGTGGAGGGGTCGGCTGACGTTGGTGGCGGGTTGGAGGGGCGGATGGAGATGGACGACGGATGCAGGTGGAGGACGGGGAGGGGGAAGCGGATGGAGGAAGGGGGAAGTGGCGAGAGGAGGGAAGGGGTGGAGACGGAGAAGGTGAACGGTGACGGAGGCCGGTCGGTCGGTCGGTTGGTGGTGGTTTGTGATTGAAAAAAAAAAAAAAAAAGGCAGAGTGAGAAGGAGAAAAAAAAAAAAAAAGGAGGTTGAATTCGCAGTCAACCTGCACAAGATCGCCTCCCTGAAACTTCCCCGGGTTTTTGGACGTGGTACACTGCGGTTATGTGGTTACTTTGGCTGGGGATTGGCGGGGAAGGACTCCGACCAGGAAAGATTCGCGGCAATGTTTTCAACGTGGTTTTCGGTGGGACTGGTGAAGGGGTGAAATGCTCCGAGCTCCCCGTCGGATGCGCGGAGCGCTCTGGACGATGCTGATGGAAGCATACTACGTTTCTCTTTCTTCCGCTGATGGCCACTACATATAGCGTTAACTCGAGTGGGGTTGTCGCTGCAGTCCTTCCACGTCCAAAGTAACAGCACTTCAACTTCAACGAGTACACAGTCAAATGATCGCCCGCAGGAGTGACTTTCTGTATCTTACCGAATTCTTCCACCGCATGTCATGAGATGCATGCAGGTTTACTTCATGAGGGAACGGGATATGTTTGAAGTGTAGGAATTGCGCCGGAACATAAGGCATACAGCCACGTTAAAATCCCCTGATATGCAGTGACATTGCGCGCCACCATGTCGGTAAGAATCCGGTTCTTTCGGCAGAGGTCATGCACACCGTTACCATACAAGATGGACTCTGAGGGTTGCCGAACGCACACTGGTGCATAGCGTAGGGCCTGATCGTCAAAGATCAAAAATTTCAATGACCAGCAACGGAGGTCCCAAGAAGTTTGGGCTCCTCATCCCGAGCAAGAAACCTTCCCCTTTCGCCTCCAAAAAACCCCCCTCTGCCGCTGCTGCATCTGCCTTTTCCGCCCAAGATGACGATTCCAACGACGAAGCCTACTTCGACTCCGAACCCGAACCTAAACCAAAAACAACAGCCCGACAACCACAACCGCCGGCGACCTCAAAAGTCGCCTTTTCTCTCAAGATGAAATCCGCGGCGCCTGTCTTTGCTGAGTCGCTCGAAGAGGATCAAGAATTAGCGGGCCTGAACGATAGGGAGCGGATGAACCGCCAAATTGTGGCGGGGAAG